AGAAAAAGAAATCTTTTTGCATCGAATTATTACACGCGATGAGAAATGGGTACTCTTTGACAACAATAAGAGAGTAGGCCAGTGGTTAGATGTAAGTGAATCACCAAAACAATACCCAAAAACATCCACTACACTCTAAAAAGTTACTGGTTACTGCATGGCGATCTTTCAAAGGGGTTATTCATTATTCATTCTTGCCTCAAGGGAAAACAAAAATTGTTGAGAAATTAAGTGTATGCCCAAATGTTGAAAAAAAATGATAGACTTGTGAATCGGGATGGCCCAATTCTGCTGCATGACAACACACGGTCACACGTTTCTCAATCAACTGTCCAAAAGCTCCATAGCTTGAATTGTTAAATTTTGCTTCATCCTCCATATTCACCTCCTACTGATTATCACTTATTTAAGCATTTTGAGCTTTTGATATCCAATAAAATATTCTCGAATAAGAAAGGGGTAACCGAAGCATTTGAACTGTTTATCATATCAAAGGACCCTAATTTCTTTTAAAATTGTGAATAAAAATTTAGAAGTATGTTGTAGAACAGCCATTCATCAACGGGGTGTAATCGGGCAACACCGTCCACGTTCGTCCAAGACTTGCAGTACCACGGCTGATCGCTGAAGTGACCGCTTCAATCCCGAGCTAATCTTATCCCACGTTATGATTTAAGGTTGATCATAAGGCAGCCAAGATCGAATCTTCGCAGGTATCTTCGCGTTGGGCTGATCCAAGCAGGGCGATGATGTACAGGGAAAAAAAAAACACTCGAATACAGAAGTAAATACTGTTTTTATATCAGTCCTTCGTGCAATAATTATTTTTTATATCAGAGTTCGCATGCAATTAATTATCGGCCCAACCCGCGTCTAAATCGGAAGTGATATTATCGTTGTTGACTTGGCAAAATCCGGTTTGCTGTTGTTAGTAAAGTTTGGCAGAAGGATGAAGTCGGAGACTTTAGTCAGCAGATAATCACATGGGTCTCTCTCCTGTCATAAGTGGGTCCTGCCTCAGTCTCTTCTGCCTCTCTTCTACGACTCGTCTGCTGAATTCACTTCGCCCATTCGTATATATGGACATTTGCCGAAACTAACATGGGTGGGTGGCGAGGTAGGAGCATTTCGGTGAATCCCCTCCGGCTTATGTCATAACTTTGCAGAATTCCCTCTCTCCACCGTCTCTTTTATTATCCTTCGCTAAATCTCCTCAGTGGGCGTTGGTGGCTTATCCACCCGCTCCTGGTATTTCAACTCGACTTTCGACCAAGAGAAATCAACTCCAAATTCGTTGTTTACGAAAAATGAAATTTTCGCTTTTCAGCTTTCATTTTCAGCTGCGTAGAACACATGCCAATCAACATTGCCCCCTAAGTCTGGGTCACTTTTCCATTGTTCAGATTACGCGACATAAAATTCAAGTTGTTTATGTGTGAATTAAATCCTCAATTCTTCCCACGGGTTTTTGGTATTAACTCTTGTCGCTTCAATGTGTGTCAGTACATAACACTTTCTTATGTTTTAACAAAACTTTATTCCGTTTTAGCACGGCAACGAGAAAAGGTATCACAATGGTGCCTATTTTAAGTAAATAAATTATTTATTTAACATTTCAGAAACCTTTTATTCATTTCCTATAAAGTGCGACATTTCATGTGCGACAACCTAATATTTCAAGATTTCGTCATCAGCTGCAGTAGACGACGAATTATCGACATCGACAGACAAAAACATAAAAGTCTGGGGGCATTTTTTGATTACAAAATCTCTAGAAATGTTCTGTTTTATAGATTAATGATAACTGCCTCTAGGCTTTGTCCCATTTCCGAACACGTCGTAAATATAGACATTTCGGAAAAGGCGGCCTGACGTCAAGTGAATGTTCATTAAAAGAGAAATTCATGCAGTCAATATTCTTTCTGTTTCTTCCCTCAAAAATAAGATCCAAATAATTTAGACATTGATGCTTGCAGCATCTGAACGGCATAAGTTAAAACATCTCATCTCCAAGAGATTTGGCTGTACGGTTGAACCAAATGCTACAAAAAATGTAGTGAATTTGTCCTCTTATTCTCCTTCAGAGAAATTCTGTGTGTGGCCGCTACAAAGTAATTTTTATCAGACGATATATATATATATGTATATGATAAAAATATAGTTTTACGGTATACAATAATTATGGGTAAACGTGTTCAATATTAGAGAGAGTGAGCCTAGGTAAATATAAAAGTGGGCGATGGTCTTTTAGTCTGTTTCATGCTTAAACACTAATATTCTGTACATTATGCTTTGCCTTTTGTTTCTTCCATATATATATATATATATATATATATATATATATATGCTGGTCAATATATATATATATATATATATATATATATATATATATATGTGTGTGTGTGTGTGTGTGTGTGTGTGTGTGTGAAAATATATAGAAAATAGGAAGGAACTGGTTAGGTAAATAATCCAAAGTCCCTTAGTATTTTAGTTATTATTTTTAAAAAATAGTGCTCGATACAAAAGTAGAGCATAAATATAATTATTTATTTAAAAATATGATTCCAAATCGCGACATAAAGCCCCATGTTTCAAAACAAGAGCAAAAAACTTCAATATAATTATTTAAATTATTTAAATTGAGTTAAATTTTAAATTGTTCCATTAAAATAATTTAAATAATTCTTTTTTTTTTTTGAAATGGAACAATGGAACTTATTCGCGATTTGAATCATATTTTTAAATAAATAATATATATTATATATATATATATATATATATATATATATATATATATATATATATATATATACTTTCTAAATTCAATCACTATAACAGGGATATTTGCCCAAAAAGAACGGATAAATTCGCTCAAAAAATATTCAAAAACTAAAATATAGGGCAATTTATGATATAAAATATTTGAAGGGACGATCTTCCTCTTGCCATAGTTTCAACCAGAATGTTTTCATCAAGCATTAAGTCTAGATGTTTCATACAAAAGTCACGCTAATCAACGTATCTGTACTAGTAACATTTACTAGTGCAAATACGCTTATACGCGTGCAAGAAGGCGATGAAACGAGCTATCTCTCTTTCTCTCTCTCGCTATATATATATATATATATATATATATATATATATATATATATATATATATATATATAAAAATTAAACTGGACATATTAAATAACTAGATATTATCTACCGTATATACGTGTGTTAGCGTGCATAAGTGAATAAATATTTACCTAATTTAATTTAAGTTTTAAACAAACAGTGCTCAGTGCAGTTAGACAGAGTTAAGTAGTATATATTAATAAATATACATACACCAACGTTCGAAGTGCAAGTTAAAGTTTATTTGTTCTACCAACATCAGGCACGAATATACATGCATCCATACACACACACACACACACATATATATATATATATATATATATATATATATATATATAATATGATTGATTAAATTTAGAAAAAAATGGTTAAATAAGGACAAAATAGGAAAACCATTTTAAACTTGGCAATTTTCTTTATTTATTTCGCTTTATCAAAAACATTTGGAAATCTTTTGTTTTACAAAATTTTTGGGCGCCTCTTATAGACGTGTTATATCAGAGGCATATTTCTATTAGCAAAATGTGGAGACCAAAAAAAAAAACAAAAAAACAAAACTCAAAGCTAGCTTTGCGTTAACTCCTTCCTTCATTTTAATTATGAACCCCATATTAATAATAAAATCCCTTTTCCCGACATCTTGCTTGATGCCGACAGCCATAACTATACCGCTTTTCTTTATAAACTAATCAACTAGAAAAATGAATTTCCTAAAAGATGCACATTCTCTGTTGTAAAATATGATTTACCGCCTCAAATTAATCTCTTCTTTGGACACATTATTCTCTAAGAAACTAATCCACATTAAACAAACTCTAATCAGCAAAAACAGCTTTGATAACCATGTCGTTGACGAAGAAAAAATTTACCATAACAAAATTTACAAAAAAAAATATCACAAAACATCACTCTGATGCTAGAGAAACACTATTAACTTATTTATGGTAACCAGATGCAGCTTAATTATAAACAGGATGAAAAAGAATTTGTATTTTTTACGGCATATCAACTCATGAGGTTATTTAATGCTGAACAATATTAACTCAATAATATTAACTATGAAAACGGCCACAATGTGTTTTGTTTGGAAAATATAACATCCCTATAACTCTAGATACATACACAAAACCCTTACATCCAATTAAAAAGTAAAAATGAAATCCTCCGTTATAATGGCTACAAGTATAGTCGAAAGTGCTCGTAATTGCAGAACATTCGGACAGCTTCTAAATACTCTGTTCAGAAAAAGAAACACTTGTTCGAAGATAATACATATATTGTGTTTATTTAAGCAGCATATTTTCATTCTAACATGGACTCATTTAATGCCGAATAATATTAACTTAAAAATATTAAATACAAACGTGGTCACAATGTGCTGACTTTGATGGGAAAATAAAACATCCCTATGACTCTAGAAACATACATAATAGCTAAAAGTATAGCCGAAAGCGCTCGAAATTACAGAATATTTTGGACAGCTTCTACGCACTCTGTGTCCAGAAAAGAAAACACTTGTTCAAACACAAGAAAAATTAAATAAAAACCTTAATCGCAGTACCTTATCTGTCGTCTTTAATGAAACATATATATATATACACACACATATATATATATACACACACACACACACACATATATATATATATATATATATATATATATATATATACACCGTATATATATATGGTTCTGTATGTGTGTGAGTGCGTGTAAATATGTATCTGTTGTCTCTTTAACGATGTTACCGTTTTTAAAAATTAATACATGTTTTCGATTATATATGTTTTCAATATTTGTTTCCAATTTGAAGCATTTCTTTTCTTTTGTAATCTATTGAGAGAAAGTCACGATGGAGCTGTGTATGAAGTCATAGGATGTCATTAGTCAACTCAGCGTTCCCTTATTCCGAGGAATCACGCGGGAAATTGCTATTGCCACGTCAGGAAGTCTCCCATGAAGATACGGAAAAGTTACGTCATCTTATTTTTTTATCCATATTTAAAAAAAAATATCCATTTCCGATACTTATCATGAAATAAATAAAGAAGTAACAGTAACTCCTTTAAAACTAAGATTGATCAATATGTCTGAATCCTGACACGAAGTTATTAACTGAAATCTGTTCGGAAAATCTCACTCTAAAAATATTTGATGTAATTTTTAATACAGGCACGGTGAAATAATCAGCAAGCCGAGTTCGTATTCTAGTCGATTACATTACATTCACTTTCGGGCTAATCACATAAGTTTTCCTTTATATGACTGCAAAGATGTGTGACCGCTTGGGAATAGCAAGTGTTGTATGTTTGTGCGTGCGGTTGGTGTAACAGATAACGGCTCGGTATTGAATATTAGAGAGCCGAGTTCTAATTCCAGTCGGGATCGCCATATTCGCTTACACGCAAATACGTTTGGGAAAGTAATGAGCCCTCCTTTTCTCTCTCCCAGTTATGGATTACTTTGTAGAACTTTTATCGGTAAATTATTATTATCTCCAAATAATCTCACAATTCGAATATAATTTCTGGCTTTAAATAACCGGCAAAGTGTTGATAAACCGTAAAAATCAAATCAATTCGCACTGATGTTGGATATAAGCTAAATTAATAAACACCTGACAATGGCTAAAATGTACTTGCATGGAACAATATTTTAATGATAATATTTATACTATTCTCAGTCGAGAAGAATAGTTCAGATGAATAGAATAAGTTAAAATGAGGCATTTTCTTTAAGTCTATTGTTCAATATTTGTTCTGTGAAGAAAATAATCTGTCATTTAATGAAATTGTCTTACAGCATTTTGATGTTTACTTCCTTGTGAGCTGAGTCACCATGCAATTTAAGTAAGGTGTATCTTGGTAGCAACCGTTCATTAATGCAATTTATTTTTTTATAGAGAATATTCATATTCAAAACTCTTTATTCAAAAAGCTTCTCTTCTTCCCTGTTCCAGAGAAACCCGTAATGCAGAAGCATAGAAAATGCAATATGACAAGTTCATGTGAATGACAATGTCATGCAGAAAAACAAATAAAGATTAAAAATTTTATAAGTTGTGCAGATTAATTCAAACCATCAGCAATTAAGCAACCCATGTGTGATTCAGCAATAGGCTATTTAAAATGAATTTACACTACAGGCAAAAATTTGTTTGACCTGAATTTATTTTAAAAAATACCTTAAAATGAGATATTTTTTTTATAATTTTAAAATAAGATCAAGTTTTAGTATCTACCATGTATTTGCTTTTAGTTTGACAAAAAATAAGCAACAAAAATTACCATAGCAAAACACCATAATTTGTATTCCTCAATAAAACCACAATCTACTTTAACTGCAGCCTTACATATACAGTGTAACCCGGATATAAGAGGGTTGTCGGGACCGGAGAAGTCTCTTATATACGGGTTTCTCTTATATACGGGTTTCTCTTATATCCGGGTTTGGTTTATTTTTTTTAGGTAAGTATGGCTCTAATTTGGGACCAGAGAAAATCTTATATCCGGGTCTCTTATATCCGGGTTACACTCTACTTGACATTATTTCCATTAGTTTTTGAAAAAGAAATGTAGATGGCAGACCTACCCAATCATTCTTTGACCACTGAGAAAGCTTATTCTTATACTATGCTAATTTAATGAGAAAGAGAGAGAGAGAGAGAGAGAGAGAGAGAGGTCAATAGATTGAGGCGGTCATCTCATAATTTACATAACTGTTTTCCTTTCTTTGACGATGTAATTTTAACATAATTTAGAAGAACGTTTTGACTCATTGTCTTGTTGAAACGTTAATCTTTTTCCAAACATGCGTAAACCAGATGATCTTTTCAAAATCGAATGATATTCTTTTTTTCATTATTCATTTGACCTGTATCAAATCTTCAGCCCTTCTAGTAATCTCAAATAATTTACTGAGGAGCTTAATGTGAAAATAAAATATAATGTATCGCATACAAAATATTCATCATTTAGCAAAATATATTGCTGACTCCAATTTTGAAATTTTCGGTAGTAAGCGGAGACTGTAGAAAGAATGAAAAATAATAGCAAATACACTGTTGTTACTAAAATTTTATCTTTCCTTAAAGAATATAAAAAATATATCTTTTTAAGGTGTTTTTAAAGAAATGCAGGGGGGACCCAACCCTTTTGCCTGTTGTTTATACTACGTCAATATTTTGCGACAGTTTTCAAACCTCAAAATATCATATCTCGCTCACATGATAACCGAAAGATTCAAAATAGAAAATTCAAGTATACACCCAAGGGGCATAAAAATCACGAGTTTGGAATTTCTTTTTATCTATCTTTCTTTCTATCGTTCTTTCTTTCTTTCTTTCTTTCTTTCTTTCTTTCTTTCTTTCTTTCTTTCTATCTATTTATCTTTCTTTCTCTCTTTTTTCTTTCTCTCTTTCTATCCATCTTTCTTTCTATCTATTTATCTTTCTCTTTATCGTTGTTTCTATCTTACTTTCTTCTTTTCTTTCTTTCTTTCTTTCTGTCTTTCTTTCTTTCTTTCTTTCTGTCTTTCTTTCAGTCCCTCTTTCTTTCTTTCTATCGTCCTTTCTCTCCTTTTTTCTTTCTTTCTTTCTTTTTTCTGACCATCTTTTTTCTTTCTTTCTTTCTTTCTATCCATCTTTCTACCTTTCTTTCTCTTTCTTTCTTTCTTTCTTTCTTTCTTTCTTTCTTTCTTTCTTTCTTTTTCTTTCATTATTTCTATCCATTTTTCTTTCTATCTTTCTTTTTATCTTTCTTTTTCTTTCTTTCTTTCTTTCTTTTGAATAAGGTCAGCCAAATGCTCGAATCTTAAACAAAAATTATTACGGACAGGTATGTTTGTGGTTGTTAACCAAACCTGCTTAAACGAACTATTGCTGTTTCCATCCTAAAAATCTCTCAAGCATTCACTGGTCTTTATAAAAATCATGTGTGTTTGTTATTATTTGTTTTCAATAAAGTTAAGTAATGCATTTATCCTTTCAACTCATATGGTCAGTCAATAAGAGTTTTCTCATTATTGTTTGTTTATCGGACGTAGACGATCATGACTCTCCACAGATTCCGATTTTTTATTACGTGGGAACTCCCAATAATTATTTGGAAGAATGAAGGAGTTATTTAAAAAAAAATACAAAAAAAACGTTGCTATTTCAACGGTAAATATAAAGTTTTTTGGGGGTTTTTTCTGCCCGTCGACCGGTTGCCAACCAATTCTAGCGAAGACCAGTCTACCCTGCTATTTAACTCATAGCTGGTGAGTGAATGGATAGATTTAACCCATAGCGGGGGAGTGAATGAATAGGTTCATGTCTTGAAAATTGAAGGGGTCGAAAGCGCTTTGGACAATGGACAATACGAACAGTATTTTCACTCCCTTACTCCCACGAAACGGAAAAACGATGACTTGTGACTTCGTGCTAGCACAGCTATATATATATATATATATATATATATATATATATATATATATATATATAAAAAACTCAAACTATAATATTCCATGGTTATAATATATTACATTGGAATCGTAATCACGATCCAAACCATCAGACCTACGAATTGAAAAAGAAATCGGAAAATATAACTCCGGGTTTAAAAACAAAATTTTAGTGAGAGTGTATGTGTGGGAGGGGAAAACAAGTGTGAAAGGGAAATGTATGAATGCTCTAGAGAGAGGTTTAACAGAAGAAAGAAAAATGGTACGAGATAGAACAACCTTCCCGCAGATATTATATACAGGCTCAGACTGAATATCTTCTCGATTCTCCATCGCCTTTGTTAATATACCTTTTCAAATTCAAATGCTTACCCACTTAACCATTAGAACGATTGCAACTCAAAATATATATGCTCTTTATCGTAATGATGTTGTCATTTATAAAGATTTTGTATTTCAAGTGTTTAAATTCGTAAGGCTAACACTGGTGTCATGTATATACAATACATGTGTAAGTTTTACTGTTATTCTTGATAAGGACCTCCAATCAGTGGTTAACTTGGGCAGAAAATGGCTTGTAAATTTTACGGCCTCCAGAACATAACTGCTCCCATTTCCCCACCATAGAGAACCTTTTCTACATGCTTGAAAGCTAGACTGCAGGAGAGCAACAGAGTGCACATTTTTGGCCTCATGTTTTCAAATGACTTGGAGTGGGGAGACTACATCAAATCAATAGCTGCATCTCCTGCGTGGAAACTTGGGTCACTGTGTCGAGCCGGAAAATGTTTCTCGCCAGAATCCATCCCGCATATTTACAAATCTACATTCGTCCGTCCATTGAATATTGTTTCCTTGTCGAGTTTGGTGTTCATGCTAATCATCTCAAGGTTCTTGACAAAATCCAACGAAGGATCTGCAATGAAATCGATTCTGACTTAGCATCACGACTTCAGTTACGACGTGACGCGGCTTCCTTCTTTTCTTTTCTACAAATATTTTCACTGCAATTGCTCTGATGAGCTTTTTTTTATCTGGTGCCCTGACGATATGGAGTAAACTTTGCTAGTAGATTGGCATCTAGATCCCACCCGTTTACTTTTGAAATATCTAAATGCAACCGCCACTTCTACTCTGAATGTTTCTTTTCTTTCACTTCCGTTTCCTTGCTTCGCTGATAACTAGAACCTTCAAAAATGTTAATGCAACGTCAATCGCCATATGCTGTCTTCTTGAATCCCGTTCATATTTTTATCTTTTCTTCAATCGTCCCTATTCTCAGCTTTGTCTTTCTTTCTTTTTTACTTTCACTTATAACTCCTTGTGTACTAGTCACATTCCCACCTTGCCTGGGGTGAAATGATTAAAAAAAATATGTCTCAATTATTGATCGCATTAGACTAGAATTTTCCTAAAAGCTGTTAAAATCATCTTCATATAAATATTTACATATATTTCTGAGGAATCAATGCATTTTTTTATTTCATATCATTTCCTACTGTTCCACCCGTTATAATTTGGATACCCGTGTTTGGGTGGATGCCTTGTTCTTTTATCACGTCTACAATTCTGTTGGGGCCACCCACCTTCTCATCAGAATGGACGGATCTCTCTACTACTAATAGGACAGTTCTATAGAGTTCCGGGAGATCAGGTGACCATCACACTTCTGTCTCTCTACCGGAAGATACAGTTGGACTTTATACTCATTCTGATTGTTACTGAATAACCTGCGTTCGTTTGACTACTAATTTCTCTGTTGCAAATACCTCTTCAGATATACCAGTATTTTTCCCTACGTATGTGTTTGTCCATATTTCAATACACGCACGTGGAAACACTCAACATCTCAACAAATTCTTTGCATTCGAGAGATTTTTATATCTCGAACACATTTTTTTCTCTTCACTGACATGTCGTGCGTTAATGATGAGTCTTCATGCCAATATTTTTTTATCTTATCGTGTTTACTCGGGATGTAGGCGATGATTGCTCTTCACCTCCCTCTATACCTTGCAGCTCTCAACAAGTTAATTTCCCCTGCTATCTCCCCCAGACAACGTTCTCTCATCCACCTGCTCAAGCCTGCCAGGACTGTCACGCGTTTCTTTCCCTTGTCTGTTTTTCCCTCTATTCGACCCGTGAGTATCAGATTCTCCAGGCCTTCCTACTTCGTTATGTGTCCCACAAACTTTAGCTGCCTCTTTCTGATGTTAAACTTGAGCCTCCACCTTGTCTGCATCCTCTCCAAGACGTCATCGTAGCTCACCCGCTCGGACCACGAAATCCTCAGCATCCTTCTGCAGAGCCACATCTCCGTCTCCTCGAGTCTTTTCTGCTTGAGGAAATTGTCCAGCATTTGCTGCCGTAAAGAAGGACAGCTGTCACGTACGTACCACATAAATTTCAACTGCCTCTACCTGATGTTAAGTATAAGTTTCCTTTTTGCTTCGATTCTCTTCAAAAGGGACCACGAGGTCAAATGAATAAGAATCATGCGAATTTTGCTTTTGGTTGTGGACACATATATAATATGACCGGCAAACATTCACGCTCGGGTTTTTCTTCCTCGTATTTTTCGGCTCGTTGCAAGTGCTCAAACAATTTAAGTTAAAGAAGAGTCCTGGGTATGACGATAAACTACGTCCAACAACAAGGCCTCAGATAATGTTTTCGGAAAAATAATGTTGCCAGCTATACGTTTTTTGGAAAAAATAATGTTGCCAGCTATACGTTTTGCGTCCTGGGTATGACGATAAACTACATCCGCGTCCTGGGTATGACGATAAACTACGCCCAATAACAAGGCTTCAGATAATGTTTTCGGAACAATAATGTTGCCAACTATACGTTTTTGAAACAATAATGTTGCCAGCTATGTGTTTCATAGTACTGTATATTTAATACATGTATAGGTGTATATATATATATATATATATATATATATATATATATATATATATACATGCCTTAATTTGGCATTAAATGACCCACATTGGTTGATATGCTATAAAACCCAACCAATCAACCTTAAGTTCTATCACCCGTCTCTCTCTCTCTCTCTCTCTCTCTCTCTCTCTCTCTGTTTCCATTCAATATCAATACTGCGAGGTACTCAACCAATTAAAATATTAACACAAATCATTCGCTTTAATTTAAACAATGTTAACAAAATTTCATTTTGCGCTTATCTCTGTAAATTAAGTGAGAATAGTTTGCAACAGTAGACGTTAGGAGGTCTGAAACATTTTAAGTGAATCGGTATGCAAGTTTTAATTCAAGACCAAAAATGTCGGATAGTTTAAAGAATCCTACTCTCGTATTTAAAATGATGTCACTCCCTGTCATTTACGTTCATCTGTGAAAGAGGGCATAAATTACCCGCATTTTAGCGATATCATTAATGATCGATTTGGTGAGTCAAGCCGAAGACATTGTGAGTAGAAAACAGATGTTATGGTTCAGCTAATCGGAATATATTTCGTTACAGTACCAATCAGATGAAATTAAGTAGTTGTGTTACTTCTGAAGCGACTTCGGTTATAAAGTAAGCAGTAGGCTTTCAACACAGGATTTACACTCAGTTCATTGCTTGCCATTCCGTGTCGTTAGAAATGATCCAACATTTTCAAAAGAGGGAAATCTTCTCTTTGTATTTTCCAATGAAATGTTCTGAAGCAAGAAAAGTTCATTCAATGTTCACTCGCTTTTTCTCTGTCGATTCAACTCTAAGATAAATGTTTCTCAATTCGAAAAAAAGGAGAGCTAGCTATATATATATATATATATATATATATATATATATATATATATATATATAATAAGCACTAGACTAGAACTTTATTGTTCGTTGAGGAAAAGCAGTGAATTTTGGGGGTTGAGTGACCGATTTCAGTCGAATGGATTTGGAATCATTGGTACAGGAAAAAACCGATGTTGTAGAGAAACACGTTAATAGGTGACTTAACACATCCATTGACGAAGGCCTATAGGACGAAATTGGTCTTGATATATATATATATATATATATATATATATATATATATATATATATATATATATATATATATATATGTGTGTGTGTGTGTGTGTGTGTGTGTGTGTATCACTTTCCAATAGATATAAATATATATGAATAAATATACACAGGCACACAGACACAGGCACACATAGACACACTCACAACATACACACACACACACACATACATATATATATATATATATATATATATATATATATATATATATATATATATATATGTAAGCAAATTTAAATGGATATAGATCCGACAGAATGAAGAAAAATTTGGAAAAAAACAAACAAATATCATTAAATGCAATTATGTTGTTTAAAATGAATGAAATGTCGACGTCTGACGTTTCGGTTTAATAAACCTTTTTCAAGACAATATTCATTAAAATACAATTCAGTTCAATATGACAAATACGATGGACATAAAAACACAAGTCTTATCCAGAACAGATAATAAACAACATAATTGCATTTAATGATTTTTGTTTGTTTTTTCCAAATTTTTCTTCATATATATATATATATATATATTCATTTAAAAATATATATTTATTACTCGCTTATTTCTGACTTACCCAGACTTTAAATAATAGGCACTTTGTATCCTCCACATGTTTTAAATGACCTTTGAGTTACCTGATGAATATACATGAAAGTTTTCGAATTTAAAAGCCTAGATAATATAATAACATCCTTGCTCTTCTATATTGTATATATACACGTGCAACAACAAAAATACTATATATGCTGTTACAAATCCCTCACAAGACAAAACGCATCGAGTAAGAATAGTTTTCCTCTTGTCTCCTTATATATATATATATATATATATTGTCATCCACAGACTGACTGTTTCGTTGTATCAAACCCCAAGAGTGTGGGTAGATATCCGATTGCCTCAAGCCAGGATCAAAAACCTGACTGATCTGACTTCAATCGGAGATTTTACCCCTGAGCTATCACCGCCCGTCAGAGAGTAAGGCGGATTTTTACGTACTTATTCTTCGAATAAACACGCCAATGACAGAGAGGGCTCAATTCATAGAAGAGCTTTCCAGTATTAGCAGTAGCAATCATTGTTTACAAATTCACGCTTTCTCTCAAGAGTGCTCGGCCGGAATTAAATTTTCCGGGAGTGTATATATTGTCATCCACAGACAGACTGTTTCGCTGTATCAGAGCTCATCAGTGTCTCTAGACATCCGATTTCCTCAAGTTGGGGATTTTGCCCTGAGCTATCAGATATATATATATATATATATATATATATATATATATATATATATATATATATATATATTATAAATTAATTGATTTAAAATATGTTTTTTTCCGCTACACAGATCTGACCATGTTTAAAAAAAATGGTTAGAATTGTGTAGTGAAAAAAACCATATTTTAAATCAATTAATTATAATATTAATGCTCTATAAATTTACATTGAGCACTATTTTGTAAAAATAAAAATATCTATAAGAACACCGGATTATATATCTTACTGTTCTTTCTTCATATATATATATATATATATATATATATATATATATATATATATATATATATATAAGAAGTAAAAGTATTCTTCAAAGGCAAATGTAAGGATTTATTTTTTGCATGTATTTATATGCAAGGATACATTTGGTTTATAAAGGCTGTTAAATTTCAGAACGTTCATTAATTTTCATCAGCTGGTGTAAAGGTCAGTCAAAACATGTGCAGGTCATAAAGTGAGACAGTAAAATTCAAGAAATGTATTTATTCAATGAATGAATATTGTTAAAATCGGGCGTATGTGGTATAAATCATCATAATCTAATCAAAGTTGAAACAATATTCATGGTGTTTTTTGCCCTAGGCATGTTTTGACTGAGCTTTCAACTACCTGCTGAATATTCCTGAACATGTTCAAATTTAAAAGTCTAGATAAATCAATGTGTTATAGTGGAACACACCTATTCTATAGTTAATAGACTCTCCCACCTATAATAAGTAGGAGTAGTAAGAGTAACGAGTGAAGTCGCTCAGTGGGTCGGTCAGTCAGTCGATGTCGGACGACAGTTAGACGAATACTAAAGTATCAGCGACCACAACTAGATTTACACTGCGTCATTACCTATTATATCAAGTTCCTAACGTTTTGTACGTCGAACCTATTTTAGGACCGACTTAGTACAAATACAAGCCTCGACTGTGAAACCACTCCACAACACAATGTCATATAAACCCGTGCAACAAAATAAATCCTTACTTTTGCTTTGATAACGCGAAACGTGACGGCTAATAATAGTTTTTCCTCTTGTTTTTTTTTATTTATTTTGTTTCTCCTGAGATGCACTACAAATGAAAATAATTTACACACACAGACACATATATATATATATATATATATATATATATATATATATATATATATATATATATATATATAATGAAATCGATTATTTCAACAGATTAGAATTTGTTTTGCTTACACCTTGGATACTAATATTTTTAGTAAATTGTCTGTTTATTTTCTGACAAAATTTCGCGAATATTCAGGACGGTACATAAAATTAAATAAAATTCTCTTTAATCAAATAAACAGAACATTTACCCGAATAGAAGAATACATCTAAAATAACGTTTAAGGAAATCAAATTAATATATACATACATATGTATGTGTGTGTGTGTTTCTGTGTTTTTGTGTCGCACATACAAAGATGGTGCCAATAAAACAGTGCTCAATGAAATATAACAGACCTATTATCCCTCACTACTATCACAACTTTGTCTTTCATACACGACGCAATCATCAGGTGCCGCATATGAACTCACCGTTACATAATTAGAATTATAATATATCTAATTATTACAATGTTGGCGTACTTGTAGCATATGCTGGTATTATAGTTTTTGATTTTTAAATTATATTTGCCAATTAAAATAAGCTGCATTCATATATGCATTTAAAAAATAAAATTCAAAAATGACATTTTTGAGTGGTGAATATTCATATTTTAATTATTTTCCTTGTTGAATCATGGTAAGATGCCCTCATTGTTTTATGGCCAAAAGTATTTGGAGAGAGCAGTGCTGATTTTTTTTCTATTTTAAATTACTTAAGATAATTATCATGATGGTAAAAACGAAATTTCTAAGGATTTTCCGTGGAACCAAAATAAAACTTAACGTTGTTACCGAAATGCATGTTCGCTTGATATACATTGGCCATTTAAGTGACAGATCCATTTGTTTCGGCAGTTGCATTTATTTCCAACAAAGAAAACGTAAATTCTTCTCTTCAAAAAAAAACATGCAACAACCGATACAATAGAGTTATGTGATAATATGTATATTTTGTAATATATATATATATATATATATATATATATATATACACACACACAAATATATATTTATATGTATATGTATATATATGTATATATATATATAATGTGTATAGATGGGTATATGCATGTGTGCATGTGTATGTATGTATATGTATGTGAAAAGTGTGTGTATATGGATATACATGAATATGTGTATGTGTAGATATGTGAATATATTTTTTATATGTGTGTACATGGGTATATATATGTGTGTGTATGTGGGTACACGCCTATGTGTATACACGTGTATATGTTATTGTGTATGTGTGTAATGTGTTTTTTGAACATAAAAATATAGGTACTTGCTGGATTAGATAATCGTTATATTTATTTTTATGTTTATATTTGATTTGTAACCTGTAGTCGATTTGTCAAATTTTCTCAATTACAAAGCGGCACGCCGTTCAATTTACTTTCCGTCGTCTCATCTCTCCCCACCTCGTCTTTTCCTCCCTCTTACTCTAACATTAGATTGTCTATGGTGTGTGTATGTCACCACGAAATGTATCTTTATGCATTAGACATCCGACAACATTCAACTTAAACCCCTTCCACCCACCTCTCCTAAAATTCTCTGTTAAGGTTTAATCCCTCCTCCTTACTTACACTCTTTCTAAATTCTGTTTTTTTTTATTTTCGGAGTTGTTTTTTCTGTTTTCTTTTGAATTTGTAGGTCTGATGAATTGGATCGTATTTACGATTCAATGGAATAAATTATGACCATGGAATATTAGGGTTTAAGCCTTTTATTATATATATATAACACAAGTAGTTTTAAGATCAGTTATAGTTGCATTAATAACATCGACAAATCTATAACAACATAAAATATTATATTAAGCAGATATATGCCTAACAAAAACGGCAAAGTTATTTTTTTCATAAATAAATGTAACTGCCGAAAATATGGTCAGCCCTTTAAACGGTAAATGTATGTATGATAATATTGTCTACCAAGCAAGCATGCTTTCCGGTAACGATGTCATTTTATTTTGGTTCACTGAAAATCCTACAAAATACTTATCGAGTGAGTTTAAGCAATGAAAGATATCTAAACTGCACCGCTCTCTCCAAACATTTCTGACAATTAAAGAATGGCAGTAATTGTTAGGGCACTGTTAGCCCAAACGAAAATATTTAAGAAAAGTTATCCCCCTTTGACTGGAGCGGTGAAAAATAAGGCTTTTTGTCACTTTCCCTTTTTGGAAGGACAGTTCCTTCTGTGTACAGATAGGTCGGCCATGACACGAACGTAAGCAACACAGATCTTCGAGGCCCATATATTATCATTACGCATCCAGAGGCTCCACTCGCCATTCAAACTGTATTTTCATTTAATAAAGATTGTTAATAGTTTATACTTTCGTTCAATCTTCTTATCTTTTTTCACACAACGACATTTCACCTCCCTGGGAATATAACAAAATTAGCGACGAGGCGGACACACACACAAGTATGGATTTAACAATTCTGCAGCTCTTACAACAACAACAACAACTACGCTTGATAGAATTTCTGAGAGTTTTTTTCTGTATCCACATCAGCGCCTTCAGAAACAAAAATATCCACATCAACAGAGGTGGTGGCACGTTCAATCACAGAGTTCTACTATGACCCGGCTGATAAACAGGCTTTCTACATAAGCTTTGCACGGTTCGGGGATCTTTTCCGTATGTAAATTAAAGAACAGGCGGACAATTGGAAAGTCAGGTTCCTTTAGGGAAACTTTGACCCTCTGTGCACGACCGATACGCAAACTACATTTTACCAAAACGCATAAACGCCAACAATTTCGACGTTACATTTGAGACATGACGCCATTCGGTGTGCAAACTACACTTTTTAATATGCGTTTTAATTGCCTTAAATTTTGAGTCAATCGATTTTGCTATGTATTCTGGTATCATTAACAAAGAATCTGAGGTATTTAAAATCACCGATGCACAGTTTAAGTGTTTAATTATTTGTATGTAGTCTGAGGTCGGCATGTGATGCTGGCATTCGCACAAGGATTCTATTCAAAATTGAAAAAGAAAACATGGTATTACTCTGCAGCAAGTTGTAGTGAATCTTAAACACTATTCGACTATGATACAATAGTCAATACCTTCAACAACGGCCGCAGTAAACACTGTTCAAAGACAATGCAGTATTACACCAGTGGGTTCGACAGACAAGAAGCCTTCATCTACTTGCTGGAATTGTGGCAGCTGGCATTTTGTTCGGTATTGTCTATTCAAGTTACATCGCTGTCGGGAATGTAACCGAATAGGACACAAAAAAGCATTCTACTGTCCACCAATGCGCAAACCAAACTCCCAAACTCTAAGTCGAAACGCTTATATATGGCGGTAGAACTGAATGGCTGTCCTGTTCGTCTACAAATTGACACAGCCTCCGTTATAACCCTAATACAGTGTAACCCGGATATCAGAGAGTTGTCGGGACTGGAGAAGAAGTATCTTATATCCGGATTTCTCTTATATCCGGGTTTGGTCTACTTTATATACATTAACACAGTCTCTAATTTGGGACTAGATAGAATCTCTCTTATATGTTTCTCTTATATCCGAGTCTCTTATATCCGGGTTACACTGTATCTCAAACACTATGGAAAACAATAGGCCAGCCTTCATTAACACCAACCACTCATGTAGCGCAAAGTACGTCCGGAGATTTCGTCCAAATCATGGGTGAATTGCCATGAAGCATCAAACTTAATGACAAAACGGTGTCTGGAATTATTTACATTTCAAACTCTAGTCACAACCTATTGACATTGAGTCACTGGGTCTTCTGGACACTCCACTTAATTCTGTGTGCAATGTGGTATCCAGACCTTCATCTTAGGGCAACATTACCGACCTGACCAAACAGATAATCAGTAAATTTTCTGCAGGTTTTATCAATTACTTAGGATGCTGCACTCAGACAGACAAAAGCTACATTTCTACTCAAACAATCCACTAAACCTGTCTTTCGACCCAAACGACCAGTACTATATGCTGCCTTGCTACTGGTAGACAAGGAATTAAAATGTCTAGAAGAAATGAAAGTTATCACACCTGTAGCATATTTACAGTGGACAACACCCATTGTAGTGGTTAAAAAGCCGATAGCTCAATTCGATTATGTGCTGATTTTTCACTTGTGGACTACCAATACTCATTACTTGTCCCAGATGATTTCTCCACCATAACCAATGGCGGAACCTGCTTTGCGAAACTAGATCTGATAGAGGCCTATTTGCAGGTGAAAGTTTCTAAAACTACCAGAGAATTGCTTACAATTAACACGCATCGTAGATTATTCCAATTTACGAGGTTCCCTTTTAGAGTAAAAACAACCCCAGCCATATTCCAACAGATCATGAATACAATATTAACAAAGGTAAATGGTGCAGCTGCATAACACAGACGATATTATAGTTGTCGGTCGAATGAATTAACAGAACGGATCAGTAATGTTCTCTTATTAATTCAAGACTTTGGTTTTCATCTTCGACCGGAAAAATGCCAGTTTTACTTACCATCAATAAAATACATGGGCTTTATATTTGACAAAGAAGGTTGTCATTCAGATCCTGAAAATGTTGCAGCTACTCAACGAATAGTATGCCAACAGATTTCAGCAGTTTATGCTAATTTCTCGGGTTGGTAGTCAATATGGTATTTTCCTATCTCAATTTCACCAAATGAAGTCACAACTCAACAAACTGTTAGTGAAAGACAACAAACGGTCTTGGCCCAGAGACTGTCAAAAATCTTTTAACAAAATCAAATCACTGTTAAACTCGGACCTACTACTCACAAAATTTCGACCCAATACAGAAGATTCTGGTAGCAGCTGATGCTTCATGCTGTGAAAGCAGTGATCTCACACGTATTCACAGACAAAACTGAGAAAGCTATCATGCATACACCTAAGTCCCTAACAACTTCTGAACGCAACTACAAACAAGTGGAAAAGGAAGCTATTTCAATAATTATTGCAGTGAGGAAATTCCATAAAATAGTTTTTGAACGTTCTTTCACGCTTCTGACGGACCACAAGTAATTACTTTCTTTATTTGGCTAAAAAAAATGGTTTCCCTGTATATTCAGCTAGCCGATGGGCGACTATATTATTGGGATACGATTTTAACATCCAGTACCGCTAGACAACAGGATTTGATCAAGCTGATGCCTTGTCACGCCTCACCAATACACTAACAGCGCCAGATGATGATACCCTCGTCGCTGCCATCAAAGATGAAAATGATTTCAAACGCATGCTCATTGATTTTATCAGAACAGTTCCTGTTACAAGTGCTGGCATAAAACTGGAAACACAAGACTCAATCATAGAAAAAGTTGTCAAGATTCTCCGGAATTCATGGTCCCCTTACACCACACACGTCTTTCGACAGTTTCAGCGTGGTAGGGACTCTCTATTGGTAATTGATAATTGTCTGATGTTCGCAGTTCGTCTCTAATCTCAGACAGGCAGTTCTGAAATAACTACATTCAGGGAACCCAGTGATTAACCGGATGAAAGTCATAGCCCGCAGTATGGTCTACTTGTCTAACCTAGACACAGGCATAGAACATACCGTTAAAGGTTGCATCCAATGCATGAAGGCACAGAAAAATCAACCTCGGATTGTTAATTCATACGGGACATACCCAGAGCGATCATGGAAATTTGCTGGCCCTATCAATGGTCTTATTTGTCTGGCAGTTGTAGATGCCTACTCCAAATGGCCAGAAATGGCCAGAGATGCAACAGACAAATACTCGTTCCATTGCAATCCTCAGACGACTGTTTAGTCAACGCGGTTACCTGAGACAATGAGTCACAGTTTATATGGTAGATGTTCCATCACTTCTGCATCTCATGCTGTATGACACACATCCGGGCACCACCTTATCACCCAAAAATCTAATTTGAACGTTTTGTGGACACGTTTATATGGGCTCTACTGAAAGCAAAGGATTAAGTGCCGCTTACGGGCACGTTGAAACACCGGTTCATTCACCGAAGTTAAGCATCGTAGAGCCATTTCAGTACTTAGAACAACCTGGTACTGTAAGCCCCAAAGTCCAACCCTTACCTCACAGTCGGTGGGGTGTAAACAGTAGTGTCAGAGCTATGCCGCCGGAACTTCGTTCCTGGTAGGGCCACCCAACGCGGACAGGTCTGACACACACCGGCTAACAAGGGCTCTGGTGGAAACCAAGGAGCGTCTGCATCGGTAACCGGCGGCTTCTGGTCGTTCCTGTCTCTGCGTCTGTGGGAATGCAAAAGAACGTTATCCGAGTAGGCCTGGGTACCCCTTCTGTAATTTATCCCAAGAATCTTCTTCTCATAACAGGAAGAAGCTGGCTCAATCCGCCCAGGGTGAATGCCGAATCAGTACAGTAGTACAGTAAGTGCCGCTACACAATTTCCTCCTTTCTTACTGATCAACATCAAATGGAGCAATGATGAACGGTCTATCACCAGCAGAGGCGCTCATGGGTCGAAAGCTCCATACTATACGACGCCTAACGGTCCAAACAATAGCCCCACACAAACCGAAAGGAAGGATATACATTTCCAATTGGCAGTTCTGTTCATCACAACTGGACTCCTGGCACAATTCATAAAAGATAAGGACAATAAATCTATGACAGATACACCAAAATATGACATAGCAACAGACCAACTATTCCATTAAGTTTACTGGCGGATACTTTTGAATTTCTATCTCCTTCACCCGGTCCCATTAAGGAAAATAGAATGTGGATGAGAGACCTCACAGACAGAGGCAAAAGCGCAAATCCACTAGGGTGAGACACCTTCAAGTAGATGATAAGCGTGCGCTATATGACTACATACTTAAATAGAAAAGTGTCAAGGCACAATTGGCCCTAACAAAAATATTTAAGAAAGTTTATCCCCATTTTACTGGACGGATGAGCCGATTTGTCGCTTCTGCTTACTTTCACAGAAATTCCCTTAGCTCTGTTTCAAATAGCAGGGCAGAATGAGGCCTCTCGCCTTTGGTGACAGTCTAGGAGAAAGTCAAAACAGTGTTATGGTTAATGTGAAAACATTTTACTAATTTCCCTAAGAAGATATGCCAGTTAATATGTAATAAAGCAAAATAATTTGTGGGTAACCCAGATCGTGAAGGTACATTGCTAGAAAAAAAGCATTAAATTCATATTCTTGCAAATAAAATAGCATTAAATTAGATTTTTATATCCTGCACATAATTTTATAGTTTTACTTCCAGCAAATACTTAAAGTCATATTAAAGTCACATTATCAGTTAAAACTTTCTATTCCAAAAGTTATTAACTAAAAGTTTTTGCAACTTCGAAAATCTCTAGTCAAACAATAAACTTGTACACATCTTGTCATTGTGTTAACGAGATCGACACGTGGTATCTGACATTTAAAAGCAACTTTCTCACTTCATAAAGACCACTTCATGAAAATCCTGACATCTCCTATTTCTATTTTTATGAAAAGTACAAACATTTAATCGACATTGTGATGAACGATGTCTCCTTATTTGACATATTTATCTTGGTCAAATCCTACAAAAAATGTCAGATAAGAGAAATGCATTATGGAATTACAAGTACTATCCTATTCTTGGCAACTTGTCTCTGATATTCACTTTTGATTAAGGCTTCGTTTCTGGATGAAAAGTCCGCAAATTGTCTGATAAGAATACTAGAATTTCTGATATCTGTTCATTTATTTGAAACTGTCATTTCTTTAAGAAAGGTTGTTCTGATACCAAATTGAAAACAGGTTATTTCTGATGTTAAAAAAGAAAAGCTATTTTTTTTTACTACGATTACCCCCAAAAATATGTCCGAATTTCATTTTAATCTTTCAAAATAATTATGACATTTAAAAAAATGCAAAAAACCTATAATCATTTTTTTCTGATTCTTGTAAATGTGTGCAAATATACATTGGGTTAATTCAATGAGATATTAAGCTTTTAAGGTAACGCTGTTTTTAAAACTATAATGTGTATGATTTATCAGATTTTATAATAAAACCAAACGGACGATTTTTGTCGAAATCCAAATTGTACAGACAAAAATAATTTAATAATATTATATTTGGAGAAACATCTTTGGGGAAAATAAAAATAGCTTTATGTGTGAAAATTTTGTCCAAATGTTTTTTGTGTGTTTTTTGCTCTGACAAGAAATATGCCATTTTTAAAAACTTACAATTAAATTTTATTTCAAATATTTAAATTATATTGTCAATCATTTTCAAAATAATAAAAATGTTCATTAATATACATCGGAGCAATGTAGTTAAATATTAAAATATAAAAAGTAACGCTATTCCAAAAATATATGTTGTGTTTAATTTAGTATGTTTAATAATGAACATAACACAACTTTTTTGGCAAGGAAAATATTATGCAATTATTGTTAGCAAAAATCTATAGAAAATAGCTTGAATAATTTGAATTCTGTAAATAAAAGTAATTGCTGTCTTAACCTTGTGTTCAAATTTCACTTTCAGGTCGGAAAATAATTATGAACAGTTTTTGAACTTTTTATTGAATTTAGGACTTTACATAGAAATGTAATAAAATAAACACTTTTATAAATATACATTGGATCAATGCAATTCATTTGAAAGAACTAACGCTTCTTATTAATATTGTTTCGAAAATTTAACACGTTTAATAATAAAAAGGAAATGGATTGTTTGAGGGCGGGACCAGGAGAAACCTATGAAATTCGTTTTAGTAAATGAAATATAGAGGAAAGTAGTTTTAATAAAATAAGTTCGGAGAAACATTTTTGTTTACATACGAAAAAAACATGATGTAAAACTGATTTAAGTTTCTAACATCTTTATCTTTAATATTATTTTCGATTTTATCACGTAATTTATTGCGTTTAGAATACAATTATGATTAACCAATCAATTTTTTGTGAAATCCTCAGTATATATTTATATTGATACGATAAATATAAGTTTCGGCATAGCCCATTTGGCGTAGCTGATTCGGCGTAGCCCATTTGGCGCCGCTGATACAACGTAGCCCATATGGCGTCGCTGATTTGGCGTAGCCCATTTGACGTCGCTTATTCGGCGTAGTCCATTTGGCGTCGCTTATTCGGCTTAGCCCATTTGGCGTCGCTGATTCGGCGTAGCCCATTTGGCGCCGCTGATACAGCGTAGCCCATATGGCGTCGCTGATTCGGCGTAGCCCATTTGACGTCGCTTATTCGGCTTATCCCATTTGGCGTCGCTGAATCAGCGTAGCCCACTTGGCGTTGCTAATATTCCGTAGCCAATTTGGCGTCGCTGATCCGCCGTAGCCCATTTGACGTCACTTTTTCGGCGTAGCCCATTTTGCGATGCTGATATGACGTCGCTGATTCGGCGTCGCTGATTCGGTGTCATAAAAATAATTGGCTTATTCGGCACAGCCGTTTAGGCGTCAGGCAATTTCACCGTCACTGTCTTTGACCGGAGGCAACCACTAACAAAGGATAAAAGCATTGAAAACACCCAACTTTCAATATGACTTTTTATTCATTTAGGAAATTATGGATCCTTTTAAAAAATTAATGGAATAATGTAAATTAAAAAAAAAAACTTATATTCAAAATATTGTATTTTAAAAAACATTTTAAAAACTTAAGATATTTAATCTTAGAATTTAAAAAAATCCTTTGCAAAAGTGTGTTCTCGACAGAAATATACAATTGTTATCTCAAATTTTAGATGAGAAATTATCATTATTTCACACTGTTTTTCATATTATTTTTTATGATGTGAGATTTCTGATATGGAGTGGTAGTCCCAGCTACGGACAAATAGCGAACCCCCAAACACGAATCAAACACTTACATTTTATAGTAAAAGTACCAATACATTTTTTTATGAACAAAATTATCAAGAATACATTGAAGCAGTAAAATTAGCAATAATACATTTTATAATAAAACCCTCAACTATACATTTTCATAGTAAAATGACTAACAATATTTTTTATAGCAAAATGACAATTAATACATTTTATATTAAAATTGAAGACATGATTAAAGAAAGATAAAAATATGCTATGATTTATCTCATTTTTGGGGGCGGTTTACATAGAATATTCAAACCTATTGTGTACTTTTTGATAAAAACACTAATTTGGGGGTACATTATGATCAAATTTGGATGTGGAGCCATCGCTCAATTGCCCCCTGGCGGACGTGGCGGTCAATTTTCAAAATGTCCGCCATGTTTCAAACGGGGAAAAATTAACCGGATGTGAATGAAATATACTGACTAAACATACAGGAAAAATGTTGAATCTGCAATGTTGTTCAACCATTATTGTTGCGTGTTGTTGCTAATGTAGTGCAGAACATAACAACAGAGGAAAGTGCCCATACGTTTTTAGAATCTTATCTTATTATCGATTTATTGAATTATTCATCGATTAACATAACGACCATGACAAACATCTCTCAACTGAACATGTCCTAATTCACTTGGATTCTGAGAGCGTCTTTCATACAACTATGTCATTTTCCATTTCCAGAACAATGTGGAAGAGCTTCAACTTTGTTGAACCTCGTTGTGCAGAAGTAGCTCCGTTTACCTCGACCCGAGCCAGCAACAGAAACAGGCTGGTCATTATTAATTCATATGCCAAGAAACGTCGCCAGAGTCGGTAAAATGCCCATCCCAGAATACACGCCAAGGGTAGGTGAGCAGCTACATAATTCTCGCTGGATATCTGAGAAAGTTCAGCAAGCTTGGATTGCTTCTCAACTCTTTTCCGTTGAGCCGATTA